GACGGGCCGGGCGGGATTGCCCGGGCGTGTCTCGCCTGAGCTCGGCGAGTCCTGTCACCGTGCGGGTGCTGCCTGTGCGGCAAAGCAAAAAAAATAAAGCCGAACAAACCAACTTTCTCTTCCGTGTGGGCAGGTGGGAATTCACGTAGCTTAATCCGTTGTGATTTGTGGTCGGAACGGCCCAGGCTCGCTGGAGAAATGTGTTCCATCTTCATTAGTGTTTGTTCTGCCCTGATCCGCTTTTATCCTTTTGTGTGTGTTGTGGGGGCCGGAACTCATTTTCCTTTCGTATCAACATAAAAATATAGTTCTTATACAATGAAAGCGATCACTGTCTGAAACAGCCTCCCCATGGACGTCGTGGAGTGCCCATCGCTGGTGGCCCTCGGGACACACGTGCACAGGTTGCTCGATACTCTCATCTAGGTTGCCTTTCCCAGAAGAGGTTAGATGAGGTGATCCTTTGATTCATGTGTTAACATGTTTTAATGTGCTCTCTAAGGTTATTTTAACTTAGAGGGCTGACGAGAAGGCAGAACTGGAGGGTGGATAAGTATTTCTATTTAACTGCTTGGAAGGGGAGAAGATGTAAATGCTTACTTCTGTTTGAATAGAGTAGGTGGTGGAACCATAAAATGAGACTGAGTTATGTTTCCACAAAGAAAATGGTGAAACTCAATTTTTAAGTTCTTTGGGGTTTAGGCTGTAACTTGTAGACGTTTTTCAAACAATAAAGAACATCTAAAATCCTGTTTGGAATGGCCAATGACATTTGGCATAGCAAAACAAAAAATGTTTCACATTGTGGGGTGAAAAAAACCACTAGCAAACAAGCCAAAAAGGTCCCCAATGCCCAGAGGTCTTTGGAAGTATTTAGGAATGTTGTCAGAACATGCTTTTCTGTTGGTTTTTTTGTCTGTATTTACATAGTAGCTTTGTTTTTCTAGTTTATATTTCGGTTCTTTGTGCATCCAGTGCTTCAGAATATTATGTAACACGTTCTATAGGCATTATTTAATGCTTGACACAGTAAAAGAGTGTCAAGGCCTTTATTTTTACTTCCTGAATGGAGTAGGCAGATTGTGCTCGGTAGTCTCTGTACAAGTAGGTCCCATAGTTCAGTGTAGCATTTTGCTGACTTAGAAGCTTGGGTCTGCCAGGTGGTACACTGCTTGCATGGTCTTAGGTCTGATCTTCTAGTTCATGTACTTAATATTGCTCATCTGGGACATGGTTCTGTATAAATGATGCTGTGTGTTGCTTCCATACCTGACTAGACTTGTATCCAGGTGGCCTGGTATTTCTGCGCTGTGTCATCTGGATTTTTGATTCCTTTAATTCCTGCAGATCATTGCACCTGGATCTGATGCATTTGAAAGGGTTGGACTCGATGATCTTTGAGTTCTCTTCCAACCTGGTTGATTCTGTGATTCTGTGCAAGACTATTATCCTTGTTTTCATACTGTCTGAATGATAAAGCCGTGAACTCATCAGTAACTCTTCATTTTCAGTTGAAAAGTGGGTTACTATGCGGAGACAGAAAGCACCTGGAAGGGAGACTAAGAAAGTTTGCAGGCAGTACAAAATTGGGAGGGATAGTTGGCTCCCTTGAAGGCAGAGAGGCCTTGCAGAGACCTTGATAAATCAGAGGACTGGGCAATCACCATCTTGAAAGTTGGTATGAAGTTTAACAAGGGCAAGTGCCAGATTCTGCACCTGGGACTGTACGTACAGACTGGGGAATGAGAGGCTGGAAAGCAGTGCCACAGAAAGGGACATGCAGGTCGTGGTTGATGTCAAGTTGAATATGAACCAGCAGTGTGCCCTGGCAGCCAGGAGGGCCAACCGTGCCCTGGGGTGCATCAGGGAAGGCACTGCCTGCTGGTCAAGGGAGGTGATTGTCCTGCTCTACCTCTGTAGTGCTCCAGCCTCACCTTGAATATTGTGTGCACTTTTGGGCACCACAATATAAGAAAGATACTAAGTTACTAGAGAGCATCCAGAGTAGGGCAAGGAAGATAGTGAAGGGCCTTGAGGGGAAGCTATATGAGGAGCAGCCGTGGTCACTTGGTCTGTTCAGCCTGGAGAAGAGGAGACTGAGGGAAGACCTCATTGCTGCATACAACTTCCTTGTGAGGGGAGGTGGAGGAGCAGGCATCTGATCTCTGGCAACCAGTGACAGGACCCAAGGCAATAGTCTGCAGTTGCATCAGGGTAGGTTTAGGTTAGATAGTAGTAAAAGGTTTGTCACTCAGAGGGTGGTTGGGCACTGGGAAGTGGTCACAGCACCAAGCCTCACAGAGTTCAAGAGGCATTGGGACAATGCTGTCATGCACATGGTTTGATTCTTGGGGCTGTCCTGTGCCAGGCCAGGAATTGACTCGATCCCTGTGGGTCCCTTCCAACTCTTGAGTATTCTGTGATTCTTTAAGTCATACAAACTCTTTTATCATTTAGCATGGAGGGACGTGAAAGTTTGCAATGTATTTAGGAGTAGATTTGCAATTTGATCACAGGGTAAAGGATCTTTAGGTCAAAATCTACAGAAAATACATACTTGAGTGTGAGAACAAAGTCTAAGCTTGTTCTAAGTAACTGTTCCCGATGTCCATAATCTGGAGTTCCTGATGCTAGTCAAGTATTACTCAGCTTCCCAAATAGCTTATAGGAGTTCCTTACTCCGTGTGTGTGTACCTGAATGAGGTGTGACAACTTACTGATAACCAGCCAAGAGACGAGTTTCACACTGTTGGAATGCTTGGCTTTGGTGTGCTATGCATTCCTGGAGTGAGGGCTAGTTCTTTAGAAGATTCCCTTCATGTGTTGCTGGTTCTAATTGGTGTTTCTGTCATCAGCATAAATCATGAATTAATGTTTGGAGGGAGAGGTGATCTTTAAGAGAAGAGAGACTGCTCGTGAATGTACCTGTAATGGTCAGTGTCAGAGTCAGACCCTGCTTAGTTTTGGGTGGCAAAAGTGCTTCATCTGTCAGCATAATACAGACCATTTTTAGTGTGTGAGTTGCCTCACATCCCTCCCATGTGGAATACCTGTAGCCATTATTTCCATAATGACAACTGCTTTTGATTGACTCAGGAGGGCATCCATACAATTAGATCAAGTCACAATAGTTTACTGCCTGCCACTTTCTTTAGAGACCCCCAAGGTTTTGGATTTATGTGCTCTACCTATATAACGGGTTTGTGTATCTTACACTAGTAAGAACTTGCTACTGCTAAAAGAAGTTGTTCTGGCTGCTTAACTCTAGTTGGCATAAACAGTTTATATGACATCTGTTAAACAGAAAAAGACATTGATCTGAATTAGAACTAAGGCAAGTCCTCCTTCTCTTCCTTTTTCTCTGGCTGGTGGCACAGAATTTTGGCAGCTGTGCTGTACCAATATTTATGCAGGTTTAAAGCTTGTATCTTAGCTACATTCATGTGTGCTAGATTCCAAGTGGAAGCCTGAGTAGAAGTCAATGTAGCAAACAGAGTTACTGAACTGGAATAATGTACTGTAGTGGCTTTGCAAGACTTAGTGTCTTCTAGCAGAGAACTTCTCTCACCAATTAGGAGAGAATCAGAGGTGCTCTTTGCATGTGTGTGCATCAAGTCACTGTGATTTTATTCTGTGTGCAAAAGTCATAAACTTTTCTCATAGAGAGCAAAGTATAATTATTTTGATCTGTGTCCAGTGATTTCCCCTAACAAAGGACTCCTTTATGGTTATTTTCATACAACAATATTTCCTCTGAGCCCTGTGCTCCCTAAGTCTTTTGTTCTCCTGCTTATGTGCTCAGCATGAATTGAAACAATCTCTTATGCTCAGTAATATGTTTTGTGCTATTACAGTGCTTTGAGCATGTTCCCCCCACACCAGTGTTTTGACATACTGCATGTTGACTTACAAACTCCTAATACAGCAGTGCTCTCTCAAATCCAGTAGACTTGTGTACGGATATGCTGAGAATTGTAGGAGGGTCTTTAGAATATAGAGGATCATGTGTGTTTAGACTTCATGTTTAAAGCGTTTGAAAGTCTTGTTTCCTTTGCAGTAAGAAACAGGCTGCTTGAATTTGATGTAATTGGCAGGTTCCTTGTACTTCAAGCTGTGATGTTTAAGCTTTGTGGTTGAGAACTAAGCAACATGTAAACAGAAATGCCAGTTAGGATGTTATCTTCTGAAATGCCTCTTAGTTGACAGAGTTTGGTACTGTGTTTTTATGGGGACTTTGGAGGTACCATTTCATTTTTTTATGTGTCTTTACAGGAGCTGACAGCAGCTTTGGAAAAGAGTCCAGATGACGCTGAATATTATTGTCAACGAGCTTATGCTCATATTCTTCTACAGAAATATGCTGGTAACATCTTCAGACAGCCCTAAGAATCCTCTTACACTTGTATTATAACACATTCCTTACAGAAGATGACTTCAATCTGAAGCTAAATACAGTAATAAGAGAAAGTGTTATCTGTAACTTAATATGCTGCTTTTACAGTTTGTACATAATTTCATAGTTTTCTTTGTTTTGTTCCAGCAAAACTTTCACTGAATTGGGTACCCCAGAGTCCCAGCTTTTCAGGATTATCTTGGCAGCTTTTTTTTTAAGTAGACTTCTTAGGCAGATTTCAAGCTTTGTGTTTTAAGCATCTTCCACCATTAAGTTCTTGGTAGGGACTGAATCCTGTCATGGTGGAAATGTGATAAGTGAATAATGCCCTGGAAAAAGATTAACTGAATAAGATTTGGTTTATTTTTTTCTTCCCAGTAAAAAAATCAAACAAACAGATTTACACTCTGGATCTAAGCAGAGGATTTCATTAAATGAAAGTCATGCTACATCTTACATAAGAGCTCTGGAGCTGAATGAAGGGTTCATCCCTAGTAATTGTGGCTAGATTTGATTCAAACAGTGTAATTTGTGTGAGCTAAGAGAGCTAACATAATACACCCTAAAAAAAACCTCTACTAAAAGATGCTTTTTCTATAGAATTATTATTATATTTCTCAACTTTAAACTGACTTTCAACAGATGCAGTTGCAGATGCAAAGAAGTCCCTAGAACTCAACCCCAGTAACGCTATAGCGCTCCTCAGAAGAGGGTATGTATCATATTCTGTGCTTTGTGAATATTCTCGTAATCCGTAGGTTAATAATAGTGTTTGGATTATGGTTCTGTACAAGCTTTTTTGCAACACTGTGAATGAACACATTTCATGCCATGCTGCTTGCAGCCCATCTGTAATAAAGCAGTGGTTATACGAAACCTTTTAGTTTGAGGTGATTTATCTTAACGCCTGAGCCGTTTCAAAACCACACCTCTTAGCTGATTTAAGTTCCTACCTGTGTCATTTTAACCAGTAGAGTGTCATCTGTAGAATGTGGATTAGACTAAGAAGTAATTATTCTTTTCTTGTGTTTTTCTTTGTGTCAGGCTAGGTGAATATCATATCAAAAACTATGCATCTGCTTTAGAATCTTTCAGAGAGGGACAGAGGTTGGACAGTAAGTATTACCATTTCTTGTGTGTACAGCACTCCTTGGCTTATGAGAAAAAAAATGGGTAATGTCTTAGATGAAAGCAAAGACCAAAGATTCTTTTTTTTTCTTTTTGAAGGCTAATGAATTAGGTGCCTAACTTAATCTGTCAATCTTTTGGGAATATCTGTGAAACCACTGCATCAAAATGTAAAAATGTTTTAAAATGTACATCAAAATTCTCACTAATTAGTATATGATATATTGTTTTCTTTATAAAATGAGGAGTGTTTTCCTCCTCCTTGGATGTCTTGCAAATAAATAGTGTCAGTGGTGTGGTGATAAGTGTCATAGAAAAGCTTCTGAACAGAGCAGGCTCCTTATATATAGCTGGAATTTCTTAATTCTTAAACAATTTGGTAGATCAGTCTTTAGAAAGAATGTGCAACTTGATGGGTGTTCAAACTGGCAAAATGGATTTTTACCTCACATTACATACCTCTTAATTATAGAAGCCTGTTTATTATATCTTCTTTTTCCTCTTGAAGTGTGGGCCTCCCAGCTGGACTTGGGCCCTCTTTAGTTGGGCACAATTAGAGTTTTTTTCAAAACCTGACTTTATTCTGTAAGCAGGAAAGGAGTAGTTTAAAATAGAAAGCTATGATAGAAGACATGGGAAAGCAGAAAACAAAACTATTGCAAGATGGTTGTGGCTTCTTTCTCTGCCCTCCTATCCCCATTTTATTTAAAATCCTCTCCTCATTCCATTCCCTTCCTTCTGAACAGCAGTAGGAAATGGTAAAAGAGGACCCTGAAAAGTTACACAGAGCAGGGTGCACTAATCTGATAAGCAGTTGTGGTCTAAGATCTTTGTAGTGTGGTGTCTGATCTGTTACAGTGGGTAGGACCTGAAGGCTTAGCAAAAATTTGGTTACTTTGTCTCTCCCAAATAAATGATCTGATCCTCTGGTTTAAAACTGGGAGTGTAAGATAGTTTGTGCTTGCTGCCAAGTGATCATGCTCCCTCCTACTCTTGTGCTTGTTTAGCCTCTTTTTCCAATGCCTTAAGTCTGCAGAAAGCTACTATTTTTGAACTATTTATGCCCTGGATTAATGTGTAGAAATGGTCTAATAAAGGGTCTGAGTGCTGAAGCCAGAAGAAGTGAAGTGGTGCAGCAGTGTTGGACATTGGGAGTGGTGGTGGGGATGTGGTGGATTTGCAGCAACTCATAGCTGAGACTTTAAGCTGCTCTGGAGTAGGAGTTAAAAATAAATTTTGTGCAGTTCTTTCAGTTTAGGTAGTTTGGAAAACTAGGTAGTCTCCACTAGTTTCTACAGTAGAGAGACATTTGTCTTTGTGGTGTAGTAAAGTTCTCTAGTATCTTTCTATGAAAGGAAGTAATTCCTTCCAGTGACTTACATAGCTTTCCTTACTTGGTAGGCAACTTCTTGTAGACCTCCAAACTCATTGCTTTGAAATTTTAATTGAATGCCTAATCTTTATTTTTTTCAGATTCTTGCCCCACCTCAAGCAAGCAGTTTGAGGTTTTTCATGTGCATGGATAACCACACATAGTATTTGTGTTGTGGAGTGCAACAGCACACAGAGCTGCAAATACATTTTTTGATAAGTCAGTTAATATCAGGATCCTCTTGGCTAATTCAGAATCCCTGAGTACAATGCTTGACTTCTACCTGTTTGAATTTAATTTGCCATTGTTTTGGTGCTTGCTCAGCTGAAGTGTTTCTGCAGTTTCCTAGCACTTCCTGATTACTCTCTCATCTGAAGATAGTTTCTGCTGTGCTTGCTGTATCTCCTTACAAAATTCCATGGCCTGCTGTGAGATGTGTAGTCTCCTGAAGGCCTTTTTAAAAATACAAACTTAATTATTCTTTTACATATATTACCTGGTTTGCTGGCAAGTTTATGCCAGTAACAGAATTTACCTTTGTGGAATGTTTGGATCCCAGGTGAAAACAATTGTGAGTGTAGGCATTTTGGCAACACAGTTAACTTACAGTTAAATGCAGGTAGTGCAAAATGAACAAAGCACAAAGGGAAAATTTGCCACATGCTGCTAAGCAGGTGATAGAGAAGACTTGAGCTGTTGCTGCCTCAGGGAGAATTGCTGTGGTGGGGAATTCTTTGCTGGCAAGGCTGGTTTCTTTGTCACACAAGGGGGCAGGAGTACACCAGTACAGGTTTCTGTTCCTTACTGAGTGAGGGCTGTTTTAAATCTTGACCTAGAGTACTAACAGCAATGAGCTTCATACCTGTGCTCATTGCTGGCAGGACTGACAGGCCCAGGCTACCACAGCAAGCTTCCCATTACCCACCTGCAGGCACATCTAAAAGGGGCTTGATCTCATGAGTTGTTGAATGTGCAGTGTTTCTTTATTTTATAAAATATCATTAGGGTGCAAGATTCCTTTCACTCTGCCCTGTGACCAGATCTGTGTGGAGTTTTGGAATTCTTACTGCCTTGGATTGAAGGAGGAGTGTAATCCGTTACTCTTCAGTATGTTATGTGGATTTAGGACAACTATACTCTAATTTTTTTGGTTGTTTTTCTTTTTTCCATGGCTACCTAATTAATTTAGTAAAGGAGGAATGTGCCAACTTTTTAAAATTAACTTCTTGGCAGGTACTTTTCTTGTATTCTGAGAGTTACTAGATTTTCAGTAAGTGAAGACCCAAAGTTAGGTTTTCTGGACTAGATTTATTAATAGAAATTGTTGATAAGTTCTTTGGGAGGATAATGCAATGTGAATTCTCTGAATTGTAAAAAGAGAAGTTCAGCTTTTCTTAGCAGCTGGTCAGTAATGTTGCTACTTTTTCACTTTCTTGACTGTGAAAGATTTTTCTGGTAATTTTGTTGAAATAGGTGATCACCCTGTTGTTACATGGCTATGCTACCTTTTAGTTATTTTCCAGTAACTCATTCTGTCCGGGAAGCTTCCTTGAATAGCCAGGTCTTCTAAACTTCTGTGATTCTGATTTGTAGGGTAGAATTGGCACCGATGTATTTCTAACATTGCTGAAACTTATTTGTCTTTGTAAGGCTTGTGTGAAATCACCAGGAGAAAAGACTTGGGGTTTGTGACAACTTGTGTGACTTCAGGTTGTCCTCAGAGCAGACTATCTCCTCTGACATTTCTCTGGAGAGGAAGTGTGTGACTGTTTCAAAAAATAATTTTGATAAAAATGTCAAACTGTGCTGGTTGCTTTCTAAACAGTTACACAGGGGTTGAACAGACTGGAATGCAAGAGCATATTTGGGTCAGTTCAGACAAATTAATTTGAATTTAATTAAATGTAACAGAATTAAATAGTGGAGTTTCACAAAAATACTTAAAGCTTAACCTGAGTGACAGAAGTTATAAGAAGATAATAGGAAGTAATACCTTTTTTAGTAAATTGATGCTAGTTTGGGATGGATTGTTCCAATTGGCAATTGAGAGAATTTTTTCTCTATGTGATATGTGTAATGCTTGAAGATTTTGAATGTTACTGTTTGTTCTCTTCTAGATGTAGATGATACCTTTACTATTTGGATTAAAAGATGTGAAGAAATATTAAATGGTAAGAAAAACCACATTTACTTCATAAGGGATTTGATATGCCCTTGATATCTCTTGTTTCTCTGAGTGTACACCCCGAGCACCTGTGTACTTCAGATTTAGAGAAACATGAATATTAGGTTTTTAGTGTAATAATTAGCTGTAAACAGGGGAGTACCTGTTTAGAGTTCAGACAATCATCATTAATTTACTCATTTTCATGCACAGCTGTGAACTAATTTTAACTGTAGAAGTGTGTGTCAGCTTGCTATCTAAAACCTACATCGGAATAGGTTTTCAAGTCTTGCAGAATACAAAGTTGGGAAGAGGTGGAAATTTGGAGATTTTACTCCTTAATTCCATATGGTGAGTGTCTTAGGTGCTAATTGCTGCTCTTGTATCTTATCCATGGTAGTCACTGAGTTGTAAGTATAGTTTCCTTTCATACCTTCCTACAGACAGATGCCCGTGACAGTTAACTCATCCACAGTGCTTAAACTGTCTGTGGATTTTAATGAGAGAGAACAGAGTAGTCAGTGTAGTTTTTTCCTCCACTTGTGACTTTCCTTCTCTTTGTGGTGCGCATGGGAGAATGGGACAGTAGACTAAGTTCATGTCAACCTGCTGACTTAAAAACCACAGAGGAGAACCCTTTTGTGTTGTGTAGGAATGAACAAATCTGTGCTTCCTAAGACATTTTTGCCAGGTTTAATTTTATTTGGAGAAATTAGATAAGTGACTGCCACGTCACATTATCTACATGCAAGTCTTACTTGCAAGGAGTTATCTTGGATGGCAACTGTCTTTGCCCTCTCAAGGAAAGAGGTTATAATACTTGTTTTTCTCTAGCGTCGTAATTGTTTTTCAGTGTTTTGTCTGGTTCAACTCGGTTCTCCTGTATTACCCTGCATATTCATCACCATCTTGTCTTTTTTGATCCATTTTCCTAATTCTCTGATAAACCAGCAAAAAACCACCACAAAACAGCAACTCTGATTTCTTCATTACAGCTTTATCTCTTTTTAGCAGTGTGCATTATAAAGAAGCAAAAGGAAAGTTTGTTTCTTCTTAATCATACTTAATCTGAAATATTTTAGGAAAACGTATTTAGAAGGGAGAACACTGAGCTGTAGTTTAGATGCAAGTATTACAGTATATTTAAAGTCATACGAGTGGATTTCTCTGCCAGATTTCCACCTCATTTCCCAATGAGGTTTGCCTAGCAGGAGATAAAAATTTGATGAGAACTTTGATCTGGTGGGGAGGTGTCCCTGCCCAGGGCAGAGGGGCTTGAGACTAGATGATCTGCAAGGTCCATTCCAACCCTTAAATTCTGTGATTCTATTCCTATGGATGAATGGATGATAAACCTAGTACAGACTCACAGGAAGAGATCCTTAAAATGTTTGTTTGCCATGGTGTTTCTTTTCTTAAAAAAAGTCTGTGTTGGTATCTGGTAAGGAAAGGAAAGTAACAGAAAGTTTGTTCATTCGGGTGATCAGAATGTGCTTTATATTGCAGCTGTGCCTTTACACTAAAGTTGCTGATTTAAATCTGATTAAAAAGTACAGTGTCATAAAACCAAAATAATAGAGGTAGAACTGACATGTTTTTAACTCTTCTACTCTTGAGACTGGAATAAATGCAGAATGTCTGGAGTAATTGAAGAAAGCTAGATTAGGTTATGCCTTATAAGTTCAATATACCTTTTTCTGAAAGTGCAACTCTTTTTTTCTTTCTGCAGCATCACAGACAGATTTGGTAAGATGTTTTCATTAATATGTTCACTATTTTGATTTCTTTGTTAAGCTTTTGAGTTTCAGTAGCTTTACTTCTAGGCTTTAAAAATAATCTTTTTTATTGCATGTAATTCTGAAGGACTTAACTTTTCTTCTAAGCATGAGTTCTTTTATTTGAGACCAAGGTTGCAAAATCTGAACCCTGAAAACTCTTGGGAGTGGCATACAAATCTGGCAATTACTGTGCATTCATTGAGTTAAATTCTAACTTTCTGGCCTGCAGTCTGTGGCCTAATTTACAAATTAACCGGCTCATGTTGTCAGTACTAACTTGATGGGGACTGTTAGAAATTAACTTTATTTTTTTTCCCAGTATCTTGCAAGTGGCTTGTGCAGGCTTTTTTTCTGCTGTAACTTGTTCAGCTTCCAGTTTCCAATTTTGTTATTGGAAAACTTCATAAGAAATGTTGATCTCCCCTTTTGTTTTTTCTTGAGACCAAAAAAAAGGAATTTGCATTGGATGTTCTGCTCCTTATTTAATAGTTACTTCAACTTTTTGCATTTTAAGAATAGGGTAGAGGAGGAAAGTGTACAGAAAGCATGGTGATTGTATGTAAAGACAGACCTTGGAGTTAAAATATTTTTATGTTTAAAAGTTAAACCTTGAGTTCTCAGACCTATTTCAGGTTTTCTTCGTGATTTACAGATTAGCAGCATAGTCACTGTATGTTTTTCAGGAATACATCTTATCCAGGAAGAAATGAGTTAAAGCTGAACTTACTGCTATTTATAAAATGACTGACCAATAGATTCTAAGTTAGAGATTGACATATTTAGTGTAAATTGAAACTTAAATTCTTAATCTGGCATAAATGACTAGTAGACCAGTGAAGAGCTTCACCTGTAAATTCATGTTCATATATAAATAAAGAAGAGGGGAGCAGTTGGAATCAAGAAAAGGGGAGTAATCAGTATGAAAATGATGTGTGTCTTTGAGAAGTACTTCATGGTATATTTCCACTTACACTAATGTAACTTTCTTTCCAATGGAATATGCTTCAAGTAGAATACGCAGCAGCAACCTCTGCCACCAAAGATCAAGTAAGTTGACTTCAGCTTTACTGTGAGAATTAAAATAATTGACATATAAGTGTCTTTGGCCTGGGGATTGGAGAAGTAAGATGATGACTGTAGAAATTTTTTGGGGCTAACTTTAAAAACTTGGCAGTCTGAGTGAAGTGTTCCTCAGTGTCATCACTTTTGGTACAGATCTCCTGTACTTTCAGGAGATCTTTCACTGGGAAAGAGGGGAATGGCATGAGCCTTCTGGCTTCTGTTTCTAATTCTCATGCTGAGCTTAGTTCACAGCCTGTCCCATTGTGCCTAGTATGGGTAATGTTTCTGAGATACTTTTAGGATCCTGAACTAAAAAGTGCCATTCAGTTTATAGAAGACAGACAATATTATGAATTGGTTAAGAAAGTGATCGAATTTTGATACACTTCTTGAATTTGATTTAAAAAATTATTTGTTTTTTGACTGCTTGTCAATTTTGCAACTGCTTTTTTAGAGGAAGGGGGAAGGAATCTATTTTGTATGTCTTCTCTCATGTATTAAATTACACAATACTGCTCCAGCTTTTGGTTTTTGCAGTCACTTCCTTTTTTTTTTTTTTTTTTTAGATACGACTGGTACCAAACAGAATCCCAAGTAATTGTGACCATAATGATCAAGAATGCACAGAAGGATGATGTCAGTGTGCAGTTCTCGGAGAAGGAGGTGATTTGTGTTGGTTATCGATACTCATCCCTAAATTCCCTAAGATGCAGTACCTAAAACAGTGAACATTTCATGCTGCAGGAGCATGAAGAGAATGGTGTGGGTGGTCTTCTGTCTGAGCTTCTTTTATGTACAGCTATGCTGTTTGTGTGCATGTGCCCAGTTGGGTGAACCAGGATCGACGACGACAGCAGTGTCCATAGGATATGTACATGAGCACAGTGTGGTGTGGTGGCTGCAAAGGAACATCTGGTTTGCAGCTGTCTGTGTGTTCGGAGGGATGGGGCAGGAAGTGATTTGGACCTGAATGTTAATAGTATGCATGTGTCTGGAGAAGGAATGGCCAGAGAGAAGGTGTTTTGAAAATAGGTGTGAATGAGTTGCTTTAGGACAGTTACAGAAAGAGAACGAATATTGGTGGGTAGGTTTTTCTTGCTTTTGGCATCACTAAAACTGTGCATAGCACCAAAATATATATTTTAAGGAAGTGCAGTAATCTCTTTAATGAAATACCATATGTTGTACCAATTAAGTTCATGTTTAATTTAGCTGAGAATGTTGAACAGTTAGGTTCTTATTCTCAACTCAGCTGATACTTCACGAACTACCAGAAGTACTTGGTGGTTACAATTTGCTTTTGGTTGTTAAGTTGTGTAACCACTTGCTATCTAGTTTGTGTATCTTGGAAGTGAAGTTGCAGGTTGTTTTCATGTTCTCTTAGTAACATATTGATGCTTCATTTCCTGTATAATTCTTTTCCAAAAGAGTACAGATCAAGCTGACAAGGTAATAGGGTTTTTGGGTACTTGGCAGTACTTTTGAGTGCTATGGCAAGAACTGAAATCTCCTTTTCATTTTCTAGTATACTTAAGAAGACCTTGTCCAATAATGCAATAGTGTATTGGCATTGTCTGATATTATAATCACTTAATCTCGGTGCCAAATGACAGTCCTTTACTTGAAAATGGAACTGCTGTCAAAGATGACCTGAGCCATGTTTTCAACTGTTAACAGGTGAATGCATCAGTGAGACTTCCATCAGGTGAAGACTACAACTTGAAGCTTGTTCTTCTTCATTCTATAGTGCCAGAGCAAAGTACATTCAAAGTGCTCTCAACAAAGGTAAGCTTCTTATAGTGTAAATTGCTTCTTTGACTGTTCTGATTTTGAAAACATTTCTACTTCATTGTCTTGTCACTCTGCAACAGTCATAATATCTTTGTTTTCATATAGAAATGATTTTTCTGCCTTCAAGATGCCTTTCAGCTAGTGGGAGGCTTTCTAAACTTGTGCAAATATCAGAAATAGTAATATGATGGTGCTTATTGAAGTGCAAATGAGAGAGTTATGTTGAGGATGCTTTCACCTGTTGCTGTAGAAAAAAGACTCTGATCTTCACTATTAAAATTCAGGGTATTAGGAAAGCATGAGCACCTTTTTACAAAACTTTTAGGAGCCAGTATTACCTTGTGAAGCTTGTTATCTTCATGTGCCCAAGAAATAAGAGCCAGACTTTGAAGATTTCAGTGTCGAAATAGTTCTTTACCCCTTCATGACTTCTTGCTGACAAAGGTTAACCATACGGTTAACTGTTTGTGGCTTTTCAAGAAAGTGTATTCCATGCTGTTCCTGGAAATAGTACATGCTTGGAGACACTTGAAAAATCACACAGTGTGAGAGAATGCTTCGATCTCAGCGTCTTATTTTTTCTTTATTAAAGGTGTGGAAAAATCAGAAACCGTCCATGGTCTGGCATAGCATTTGTTGTTGGCATAATGGTTAGACAGACATACGCTC